CTCTCTTTCGAGCAATTTCCCACGTCAGTGGACATCGAGGGTGCTTTCAACAGCATATCTCCTGAGGCGATTATCTCATCACTGGCAAATTTGGGTGTAAGCCAACTCATACATCCCGTTTATTAAACGAATGCTGACCGGATACGAAATAAGTGCAGGATTAGGTGAATCGCAAAGATTCCTGGTAAGGAGTACGCCCCAGGGAGGAGTAACCTCACCACTTCTGTAGAACATAGCAGTAGCCAGCCTCCTTCAAGAACTTGAAGGCATTGGTGGGAAGACAATTGCAAACGCCGACGATATTATAATAGCTATTTCGGGCAAACACCCCTCAACATTAACCGATCTAATTCAAAGAATAAATCCTGAAAAGACAGACTTAGTGCTCTTCACTAGGAAGCACAAGATAATTGACCTCGACGCTATAACTCTAGAGGGAAAACCCTTGAAATGAAGGAAGAGACCAAATATCTAGGTCTCTTACTTGATAGGAAACTAAACTCGGGGCCTAATATTGCAGATAGAGTGCGAAAAGCAACAGTAGCACTATATTCTTGCAGCAGGTCAATAGGAAAAAGATGGCGGATGGAACCCAAAATAATACGCGGAGTTTCGGAGCTTCCCGTATCGGTGGAGTACGCCCTTCCGAACTCTGATCCCACTATAGCGTTTACGAACCTCCTACCTTCAAGGAAAGAGTGGAAACGAGCCGCTCTAAGGCGTGGCGAGTCCATCCATTTATACACAGATGCCTCAAAGCTCAAGGGAAGGGTTGGTGGGCGTGTATACTCCGAACACCTGGGAATCTCCCTCAGCTTTCGTCTTCCAGACCACTGTGCGTTATCGAGCGTTTTGTCGTGGAGCCTGAATTTTCTGAATGCGGTGCTAAATCACTCAATAACTTACTTCAAGTATTTTTTAGAACTGTTACCAATATAATAGTGATGCTTTTGATTTAAAAATTAATAACATGTTACAGCTACACTTATAATATATCCATTAGGTCGCAATCTATTCACTCATCCTCTCTTAAGCTCAGCCCATTGACTCATCCATTTTTACCAATCTCTGCATACAACTTTCACTAAATCCCTAACTTATTTCCTCCAACAGTACTCTTCTTTCGATCACAATCACAGAAATTCTCGTTTTGAATTCAATTACCAACACCAATTTCGAATTTCATTCAACAACAACGATTATCCCTTTTTTTTCTTGTACCTATGTACACTTGCAAGTGTATGTACTCAATTCCTTTTGATTTCCTTTCTAATGGCTTGGCAATCCATTCGCTGCACAACTGGATGGTCGATTGTCTCAATTGATATTGATGAGTATTCTCTTACGTTCCGTTTTTTTTTTGATTAGTCATCGTTTGGCTTGACACTATCCGCAATTCTCATCATTGCTAAGAAATCCACTTAACCACTTATACTAGCCAACACTTTTAAGTTGTGTGTAGTGATTTTCGCTTGGCTTGGTCATTACCTCTTGCCCGGTTTTATACGAACAGTTTAGTGTTTTGATTTTTTTTTTTTTGAATGGCTGCTTTCGCTTTGGATTGAGTTTCAGCTGTCATTTTAGGTGATTTAATGAAGAATAATCTTCTTCGCTTCCATTACTTTCCTCATTTTTTTCTGCTCTTTTCTTTTACATTCTCTTAGTTTTTCGTCTAATCAAAAAAAAAAACTTCAATGATTGCTTTGGTTGGCTTGGAGTTTATTAGCACTAAACAGTAGAAATGGCAAATGAAAAACGGAAAACGGAAATGGAAGTGAAGGCTTAGAAAAGTGGCGAGTTCATTTTGAGTTTATTGTACTCGTAAATTGAGTTAGTGAAGAATAAATGAAGAGTAAGGGAAAGGCCCAATTGACAGTGTTTGGAATGAAATGCTTAGCGTTATTATTACCAATCAATTAAGTAATCCAGTATATTTCTTTAGAATAACATAGCTCGCTATGTACAAACAAATCAAATAAGTAAAAGTTTCAAACTTTGCAGAATAATTAGAATATTTCAACAAATTCTCATGAAAATTTTGAGCTTTTTAATTAGAGGTTTTAGAAGTATTCTGAGAATGCAGTTTTATATTTCGTTTATTTTAGTATAATAAAGTGCAAGTTTTAAAAAGCCGTTGATTATTGGCATTTTTTTTGTGGAAGGTGTTGCTCATTTTCTCCTTACAAAAAAAATTTCGAACATACTTTGTATGGAAGAAAATGCGCTAGCAATAAATTACCAAAAATCAACGGTAACTCCTAATTACTTCACACCAGACCTGTTAAATAATGATTAATAATCATAATGATTATTAATTAAAACATGCTTTTTTGGGGAACCATTTAATGATTAAATACGATTATTCGCTACTTTTTAATGATTAATAATTAATTACTTTCAAACAAAAATTTAATTAATTAATTAATTTGAATTACATAATTATTTTGTTATTTTTGATAATTTTCACTTATTTGTGAAATTTTTTCTGACTTTTTTAATTGCATGATTAATAAAATTATTGGATTATTTTGAATTGTTTTCCTGCAAAAGAAAAGAGCCTTTCAAACGGACCTGACGAAGTCAACGGAGTATTAAACAATATAGCAGCTTCCTTCAGCAATTCATGGCACTTCCAAATTTCCACATCTATTTATAGAAGAGTCGCTATTGTAAGAGTTGACTTTGGACAAGGCTCTTTAAGCTATCTTTATTGTGTGAAATTTGCTCAAAACTCGAATCGTCTTCATTATCTGTGATAAGAGCGTATGTGAAGCAGATCTGTTAACTTTGGATTACGATTAGTAATCAAAACGATTACATAGGTTCGGTAATCGTAATGAATAATTCAATTAGTGTTTTTAACCGAGGAATTAGTAATCAATTTTAATTAGAATTAATCAAAAAAAAATCATGATTATTTGTCATTAAAAAAATAATCAAAAAAGTAGTTGATTAAATTTGGTGATTACTTTTGATTTTCTGTTTTTGATTTTTTAATTATATTTAATTTATTATTCGATTTCATTGTAAAGAAACATACTTATTCGGCTTCTGATGGTATGACATGCTTAAAGTTGCGGAATACACATACATATCTAACACACATGCATACCCTCCAAAAATGCAAATATGTTGCGAATCCCTGTTATCTATGGTCATTTGAAAGAACAATGTAACACCGTGTTTCACAGCTATATACATATGTTTGTCGACAAAACATTTTTTTCCGTCTGAACAATACATTTTATTTAAAATAATTTACATAATTATAAATAAGCAAAAATAATCAAAAAATAATAATTTTATTGTAAAACTAATGCCATTAGCCTTTTTAGTTTTTTTTTATTTTTTTCTTCCAATTGGCAAAAAATACCATTATTTTTTGATTATTTTTAATGGTAATCGGTAATTATTAATTTAAAAGTGGAAATACTGGTAATTAATTATTTAGCAGATTTTAAAAAAGTAATTAATTAAATCGGTAATCCTTACAATTTATAATCATTACTTAACAGCTCTGATGTGAACATTACTTTTATGTTTTCTAACTTATAAAAATTTGCTTGCCAAACACAACTTCATTTATTTGCAAAAATAATTAAAATTAAACATATAATTAGAAATAATCAAATAATTGAAGATCATCAAATAATTTAAAACTATCAAATGAGCAAATAATTAAAAATAATCAAATAATTAAAAAAAAAAACAATTTGATTAATTTTGATTGTTTGATTATTTCTAATTACTTGATAATTTTTGATTATTTTTTTAATGGCAATTATCGATGATTATTTTTGATTATTTTAATTAATAACTAATTATTAATGGCTGGGTTATGTAAGAAAACTAAAATTATCATTAAAATTAAAAAATGCAAAAAAAATAATGATTACTAATCGTAATGGAAACTTAACAGCTCTGCTTCAAGCTTGCACTTTATTGCGCATAAATTTATTGCGCTACAAGACTGCATACCAAAAAAAATATAATCTGAAAATCTGATTAAAACTTTAAAATTTTGTTGAACATTTGTTAAATTTTAAGAATTTTTATAAATTCTCTTCAAAGTGAAACTTTGATTCAGATTGTTTTTTGGAATAGTAAGCTCTGTTTTCGTAGAAAAATTATAATCATTTTTTAACAAAATAAGCATAGCCAAAGCTTGTTAAAATGGCTCTTCCCTTTTTACAGTTTCGCCACCGTACATCATAGAAAATAAAATTAAAAACTATGTACTAGAATGAAATAGTTACATATCTGAGGTAATAGTTTTATATCAGTATCTCTAGTTTGTTTATAACTACAACAATATTTTGTACAACTACGGGACAATATTTTGGATGCCCAGAGAATCATTTTAACCTTAAACCTCTTTGAACTGGGTCTGCGAGATAACAAATATATGTACATAACTGTGGAATTTTACTAAAACAAATTAAGTGACTTTGGCATGTTTGACTTTGAATTAATTCCCTTGAAAGGCTTTATATCTTTATTAGTCTTCCATTAAAAGGAATCTTAAACTAACCCTGTGGCTAGTTAATTGTTAAAATATTTTTTTGCAAACGCAATGAAATATTGCTTTAAAGGATAAATTCCCTATCTCGAGATAAGTTGCTTTAATAAAATGCCTGAGAATGTGGCGAATGCTGTAAAACACGAATTGCAAGTCAAAGCGAATAACAAGAGAATGGCAAAAAGTGCGATAAGAGATGTAGAAGGTTCGAGGTCAAGAAACGTCAAATGGAATGTTCGATAACTATCGATAAGAAACTTCTAGTGTTGCAATAAGTGCGAGCGCGGGTATGAGTAAAGTGTTGTTAATACAGAGATTTATTATAAGCTTAACAAAATGCTAGCTGTTCTATACTTGTAGCATAGCAATTTGAGCATTTATTTAACAATCCAATGCCCGAATCTGCTAATGCATTAATATCTAATTTATGTATCTGTAAAGCGAAAAATATTAACTTACCAATTTTTCTTATTCTTTTCAGTATTTTCAAGACTTTAAAATAATAACCATGGCCTCTCAACAGCGCCATCAACATCAACGACTGCTGCAGCGACTGATAGTACATTTTGAAGTAAAATTAATTTTTTATAGATAAAATTTTGTGCAACGAATATTCGTAAAGAAATCCAAAGCTCCCAAAACTGATCGGAAATTTTAGATCAAAAAAGACGCAAACATTTTTCACACAAAGCACTCGCCATCCTTTGGAGTAGCAAGCGCTTGTCAAAATGTGCTCCACAACACAATTTTGTTTACTCAATCTACGCACATATTTAATCTACTTGTGTTGCTATCTACTTATAATGGTGGCCGCAGGTAGTCGTGTAGTTAACGGTTTAAAGTGTTATTGTAATCCCAAAGAGTGTGATGTCATACGTTCGCTGGATTGCCCCGGGAAGGGAATGATGCTGTGGGATCCCTGCAAGTGAGTTAACAACTTTTACCTGAACCGTGGTTTTTCAATATTTTTTCCTTCAAACATCGTTTCCTTTTTTAAGCATTTAAGTATTTATATTGAGGGCGTATAGTCAATACGATCTATCTGAAATTTTTACAAAAAGTAGTTTCTGACGTTAGCGCCCTTCTGGGACTTAACTCGCATCACTTGTGTTTATTCTAACTTTACAATACAATAGCAATTTCTGCAAGCAAGCGATATGTAAGGTCGGCCTTAACATCATCGTTGGCAGATGAAAGCAGCTTTTGTGAAAATTGCGGATAGATCGCACAGTGTTCTATTTTAGAAAGAAAGAGACAAAATCAAATATCTACCGAAATATATATATAAGAGTGTTTTAAAGCTTTTGAGCCTAAAAATTTAGGAAAGATAAACGTGTTATATAAAACAATTAGCTTGACCTTCAAAACGTCTTTCGAGAATTAAAGGTTTAAATTTTTGTGATTTTTTTTATTATTTTTTGTCTTATAATAATTGGAACCATTACATTTATTTAGCTATCTCATCTCTTTCTTGAGATAGTTGATTTTGTACTCTTCTTCTAAAATAGAACACGGCGGATCGTATTGAATATGAGCCCTAAAACAAGATATCGAGGGCTTATGTTCAATACGATCCACTCATTTATTTTCATATGATTCCACTCCTTTACGTGCCATTCAAATCCAGTATATTGCATTCATTTCCATTCTAGTAATTTCATTCCATTTAATTCCATTCCACTCCATATAGATCGATTTCAGTCAATACCATACCATTCCACTTTATTCCATTATATTATACTTTATTTTATTTCGCGGTTCAGCTTCAAAACTTTCATCATTCATTCATTTCTTTTCATTCCATTTCTCACCTCACCCCCTCACGCAGAATACCACATCATTTTCCCTTCAATTCCTTTGCTTCTCTTTACTCCACCTCACTTTACTTCTTTCTACATATTAATTTCACTTAATTTCAGTACACTTCGCTGCTTTTAACTTTATTTTACTTCACTTCACTTTAGTTCTCATTTTATCACTTCACTTCTTCAGTTCCATTTACTTTTCTTTACGTTGTTTTGTCACCTCACTTCATTTCTGATGATTTCACTTCTTTATATTTAATTTGGCTTCACCTTACCTCAATTCACTCCCTTCACTTTACTTTACTTTTTATCCAACCTTCACTTCGGTTCACTCACTTCGCTTTACTTCACTTCACTTCACTTCACTTCACTAGTTAATGCCTAATCATTCCAATTAATAGTGCTTCAATTTTCTTCTCTTCGATTAACAGCACCTCACATCACTTCATAACTTGACTGTACTTCACTTCACTTCACTTCACTTCACTTCACTTCACTTCACTTCACTTCACTTCACTTCACTTCACTTCACTTCACATCACTTCTTTATTATCTTACTTCACTCCGCTACACCTCACCTTTCAGTACTCGACTTCATTTTACGTCACTACACCAACTTTAAATATTTTTTCTTTATTTCAGATGTTGTCGCATTTGCGCAAAGACACTTGGGGAAACTTGTGGTGGTCCTGGCGGCTTCTCAGGTCAATGTGAGCCACCGTTACAGTGTGTCACAAAATTGCCCATAACTAGTGGATTGGGTGTTTGCATGGGTAAGTACAAAATAAAAATTTTGCGTACTACTCGTAATATAAGTTATGGGCCGTTTTCTCAAGTATGTTTCAAAATTTACATAGCTGCCCTTCAAATACCATATTTGTTCTGAAAATGTTTTATTGCATCGTGCTTAGAAAAACGACCTTAGTGAATCAAACCTGCATTTTTATTTCAAAACTGTGAGGACGGACCAGCTAATTTGTTGAAAAGAGATTTTTAAGTTTTTAGCAGTAGATCCTTTAAAAAAACTATTTTTTGGATTTTATTTTTCAAATAAAAAAATAATAATTTTTGTAAGTTGTTTGCTTTAGTCAATGACTTGGATAATCATTTCTCAGCGACACCTGGTTTGAATCGAAGTTCGCAATTTATTTTAGTGCGCTACCGTAAAACCCACACGAGCACTGGTATAGTGACGGGCTTATATACCGTAGGGGCGATAGAGTGAAGCGTGGGGAGCGAAATCACTGCGAAAGCAATATTACTGCATGATAATGACCATTGGCATGACCTGATGATAGCTTATGGCTGCAGTCGCCAGCTGCGAATTACATGTTATTGCTCCCGTTGAGAGCGATCCAGAGACTAGATGTTGGCTACGGTTAATGATTACTCTCAGTAAATATAGTCAGACAGCCCCTGATAGCCACAACCGCTATAAGAGTATATGCTTACGTCCTTAAATGACGTCGCACTCGTCTTTAATTGCAGCTACTTTTGCCTAAGAAATAATGCATCATTTCGAAAACCTGTATGGTATGTTTAATGTGAGCTCCGGGAAAAAGCTCCTACACCAGTCACTGCCAAATTCCCAAAGCCCTCCATTGCACATTTCTTCTAACACTACTTTTAATAAATATTGTACCTAATTTAACGATGTGCAAGCTGCTTTTAAAGTCTATTAGGCCCTCAGTTCACCGACTTTTGAAAGGAATTGTGTAAGGGCCTTCCCAAATTAAGATAACGATATTCAGAGATGCAGTAATCTGTGTGGTAAGGGTGAAATCTAGACCCTCCATAACTTCAAAGTATCTCGTCTTCGAGGCTATGAACCATCTGATTTCCTTAAGTTTAGGTTGCGGTCATTCTGCCGGCAATATCAACAGGCGTTGGGTTCAGCATGGCATTAAGCGTCAAAGAAGGAGTGTCTTACTTATACCGATTAGGACAGCCTATTGTACGCACTCTAGTGAATTTCACCAAAGAATCCATTCTAAAACATAATAAGCTTAACTATGATTTCGTATAACCTATGATTTGCTTTGGGGTTTCTTCGGGTTTCAGATCACAGCGACTAGGTATGAAAGAGTAGCCTTGAAACGTTATCGGTGGATGGGGTGAAGCGCTTGACCGATTAGGTCAAATGTTCTCCGTTCAAAATTCACGTGGTATGACAAAAGACAATCTCCTTAGTGCCCAATTGCATCCCCCACCTGCTACAACCAATTTAATACACGGGTTGAACGTATACAGCTACCAAAAAAATTGTGTAGCTACGTGTATTTATATCTTAATTCAGCGTAAATGTAAATTTATCGTCATCAACTGCTTTATATTCACATTTCTGTTCATCTAATTAATACCATTGTATGTGTAGTAAGTCATAATTAAAATGTGTTTCGTAATATAAGACTTGTGCTCGTAGAGGGAAATTATTGGAAAATAACTGAGCGACATAACGTTGTCATATTTCATTACTTATTATAGATTTCTCTTCATAAAAATGCGCCATCTCGTTTGTGATTTTTTGCTCATTATTCGCTTGATTATATATTTGCACCTCTTAACATAATAATTTTCATTATAATTGGCAACATGAGAACGCCTGACATGAAGTCACGTTTGAAAGTTTATTATTTTATATTCTGGCTGAAGATGTAGATATAAATTTCTCTCGAAGAAATTAATGAAATTGCGTTAAAGCGAAAACAAAAATCCAAAACTTAAAAAAAATTAGAATTATAAAAAGATCCCAGAAATTGTGCTATATTAAGAACATTTACCGCACTTGACTTGTTGGCAATTTTAAATTTGCGTAGAATGCTGACTTAATGTGAGGGCGTAATGATATTTTACATCTCTTTTTTGCAAAAAAACTATAATTTTTGTTCGTTTTTGCAAACCAGCAGAGTCATAAGAAGCAATTCAAAGCGCAAAGGAAAACTTATAATAAGGACATCATACGCACACAAAGGCTGTGTGTGTAGGTATGTAGTTCGCGTGCGCTCATAGTCAGCCTTTCATTCCTTTTATTCTGGCGAATAGTAAACTTTTTCATTTGTTTGTATGTGAATACAAACATAGATTGTCTAGTGTTTATTTACACTGCATGTAGTAGGCAGATACTTATCTCTTACATGTACATATCGTCGTTTAAAGTACAAAACCGCGTATCGTCATTCCGCAAAACCGCGCAACTAACATTTGCTGCCGAAAATTGGATTTGCTCACACAAGCTCTTGGCTTAATCTTTATCCATTCGTTCTGAAATATACCCGCCAGAAAGGCGATTGCTTTATAAAAAAAGAGAATAATTTTGAAATATGAATGTTTTTACTCTGTAGAAAATAATTTTTTGCGGTTTTGCATTTTGTTGATACGCGGTTTGGTACTTTAAGCGAAGATATGCTTTTGCTTGTTCCTTCACTACGAATGTAATATAAATGTTTGTATGTATCTAACCCACTTTTTCATAAGTATTTTACTTTTGCCAGTTAAAGTTCAATCACCCTTTTTTCCTTCCACAACACTTGGGTTAAAGACAATTTAAATTTCTTTATAAATTTCACTCTCTTGGTCGTACACATACGGTGACGTGCTTCAACTTTATCTTTTTTCATCATTTCCGCATTTATAAAATTATACTTAAGTATTCCATAAATAAACATTTGTGGCAAACTTGCTGGGAAATCAGTAAGACATTAGCGTTAATGCGGGTATATTTTTGGAACGATTTGAAGCGTAGGTGACGGCTCTTTCTTTTGCATGTATTTGTTGGAGTTAATTGTTGCGATTTTTAGAATTTCGTTCTTAAATTAAGAAGTTATTATTATTTCATAATCTTTATAAAGAGAAATATATAGCATTTTCATTTTAAATAAAACCATTTTCAAATTAAATGAAACATTTTTACATTCACCTTATGCAACAGTGAGGCATATTTTTTAACATAGATAAATAACTATTATATAAAACTCCTTAAAAAAATACCATACAATTCCTAAGCGACTAATGGGACAGGTCCTTAGGACTGGTGTAAAGTAATTATGCATAAAATAAAAATTTCCTTAAACAAAAATGGCACCTTTTTTTAATATTTTTTAACAAATTAATAAAATGTAAAAAGTTTAATGCGGTTACTACTCATAACTAAGGCATTTTAAATTTTATGTCGTTTGCCACATTCACATGGAATGACCCCATTATTTATTAAATAAAAGGGTCCAGGTATCGACATATCACTGCCAACAGTCTTATACTTAATCTTTGGAAAGGCGGGACAAAAGCACAAAATGAGTCGACATGAGTCTTTCCCACCTGCAGCACGTCGAATCTTTTTAGTCATTTCTGAGCAAAATATTCACACATTTTATGATAATCGCTTCCATGGCTGAAGGGCAGTGTGCTATAACTGGTTTCGGACCAAACAAAATTTTCTGTGATGAATTCCACATCCAAGGACTACAAAACCATAGAGTCAGAAAATAACTTTGAAAAAGCAAAGCCATCATTGTATAACGTAGGTGCATCCAACAGAAAACTAAGTAAATGACGTAAGTACCAACTTCTTACCCCTCTGCCCAATATTAAACTTCTTCGTTAACTTTCTACAAGTATCACGAATCCTGTACAAGTATTTCAATGCATCAGAATTCGCAAAGAAAATTTCTCTAATCAATCGAAGACTCATTTACCACAACTCCTACCAGCATTCGCCGTTTACACGCTTGTACATTATCTGTGGTCACATGTTTCCGTTGGTCGCATTTGCTATGCGCCAGCATCTCTCACAGCTGACAAGTAATACACATTTACTTAGTTAGTGGCATGTGTATGAGCATATTAGATACCACAAGGGATTCTCACAAGTATCACATATTTACGCCCAAGCATTATGTATACGTCGTTTATTAATATGTAAGTATGTACATTAGGGTGGGTCAATTTCTATGGGACATTTTTTCGACTATGCGCGTATAGCACAGATGGATTCTACATGTAATTCTAAGCAAATTCTCCTAAGAAACGATGGGTTTCAAATCAATTTGGGGTTAGCCAAATTGTTAAAATGAGTTTCTTAGCATTTTTCTGTAGTGTCGTAAGGAAGTGCTAAATTTTATATAAAGACATGCTATAAGGGATTTTTTGGTATGTAAAATCCAATTATTCACTTATCTTTCTCTGAAAACTTCCACCAGAGGCTGCAACAGTGAAAATTTTCACATTTTCTTCGAAACCCATTTTCACAATTTGGCAAACTCCAAATTAGTTTTAGACCCATGGTTGCTTCGGCAAATTTGCTTAAAACTACACCTAGAATCCTCCTATGCTATACGCGCATAGTAAAAAAAAAATACCCGCCCTAATGTACATACACATATGTATACTTTCCTGTAGGTAACATGAGACCACTCAATTAATGCGTGCGCATGTGGGTGCAAAGGATGCTTTGCTTTTATTAATCTTACCCATGTCCTTCACGCTGTGTTCCTACGACATACTAACTAACTAAGTGCAGATATATGTATATGCACATATGTGCATTCAAACAGCCGCGTATAAGAGTTCACCTAGCTTCTAGTACGCTCTTTGCTAAGTGGTTTTCTACACTGACGACTAGCTGCCTCGCATAAAACCTTCACACATCAGCAAAAGGCCACTTGTGCCACTCAAGTGCAACTCTTACTTATATAGATCTATACGTACAAATGTAAACGTATTTGTAAGTATGTATATTAGGGTGGTAATTTTTTTAGGTCAAAAAGCGTATAGCAAA